TAATAAGAATAATTATGATAATGATAATGAGATTAATTATGATAATGATAATGAGAATAATTATAATGATAATGAGATAATGATAATGATAAAGGAATAGAAAAATAATGAGAGCGCATACCTCCACCATGGTAATAAATAGGGTCACTGATATCCTGCTGACCAACCAACCAACAAACAAACAAACAAACAAGCAAACAAGGGGTAACTGTGCTAACAAACATCTCTAGAAAGTAAATAAATAAATAGATATATAAATAAAATAAATAAATAAATAAATAAATAAATAAATAAATAAATAAATAAATAATAAATAAATAATAAATAAATAAATAAATAATAAATAATAATAAATAAAATAATAATAATAAATAAATAAATAAATAAATATATAAAATATAATAAACAATGAATAAAAATTTGTTCATGACTTTTTAAGTTATCTTGCTAACCAACGAACAAACATACAAACAAACTAACTAACCAACTACAAAAAAAATAACCTCCTTGTCTCAGGTAATAACAATAATAACAAAAATGACGATACTAACAATAATGATAAAAATGGTAAGAATGAAAATAACAGTAACAATGATAATAATGATAATGATAATAAGGATGATAATAATGATGATGATGATAACAATAATGCTATTTATTACTCTTATTACTTTTGGTAAAGGTAAGAAGAATAACAATAATCATAATAACAATGATAACGATGATAGTGATAATGCTGAGGATAATAATAGTGGTGATGATATTCATAACAATGATGATGATGATGATGATGATACTACTACTACTGCTACTACTAATGCTAACAGTGATGATGATAATAATAATAATAATAATAATAATAATAATGATATCAATAATAGCAATAATAACTAGAAGCAGCATGATCCTAATCACTACCAAATTTTAATAATAACGATAACAGCAATAAAAAAATAGTAATAATGACAATAATAATAATGATGATGATGGCGGAGGTGATAAAGGTAATGATAATAATGATAATTGTCCCTATTATCACGACAATAAGGATAAATGATGCAATTAAATAAAAATCCTGGATCTAGTTCATGATTCGGATATCAACACCTCTGTTCAAAGTTCATAAAAAAATCTGTTCATAGCATTTTGTGTTATCCTGCTAACCAACAAACTAACTAACTAACTAAATAAATAAAATAACTAAGTAACCAACACTATCAAAATATAACCTTGGCGGAAGAAATAATGATGATAATGATAATGAAAACAATAATGATGATGATGATGATGATAATAATAAAATCAGATATGGTAATGATGATAATGATAACAACAACAAAGACAATAATAATGATAATAATAATGATAATTATAGTGTAAATGATGTTAATAATAATAATTACAATAATTATAATGATAATTATAATAATGAAAAAAATAATGATAGTAATAATGATAATAATAATGATAGCAATAATAATAATAGTGATGATGAAAATGATAAAGATGATAAAAATGATAATGATGATAATGATAACAATAATAACAATGATAATGAAAATAGTAATGATAAAGATGATAATGATGATAAATATAGTGGTAATAATAGTATTAGTATCAATGTGGATACTAGAAATAATTGTATACTAATAATGAATAATAATAACTATAAAAGTAGTAATGACAATATTCATAATGATAGTTGTAATAATGATAATAATGATAATGATAATAATAATTAAAATAATAATAGTAATAGCAATACTGGTAACAATGATAATAACAGCAATAATAGTAATAATTATAATGAAAATAACAATAATGATAATGACAGTAATCATGATAATCATAATAATCATAATGATAATAATAATAAGAATGAAAATAATAATCAAAATGAATCCTTTAAGTTGGGCTAAGACACTTTTATAAGAATCTATTTCTGACTTTTTGAATCCTGCTAACCAACAAACAAACAAACAAACAAACAAACAAACTAACTAACTAACTAACCAGCGCTATCAAAAACATAACCTCTATGGCAGAGGTAATGATAACAACAATGATGATAATAATAATGATAATGATAATTATAATAAATTTAATTATAATAATATTAATGATAATGATGATGACAATAATGATGGTAATACCATTGATAACGATGATGAAAATAATATTCACAATAATACTAATAATGCGAATGTTGATGATGATAATCAATAGAATAACAATAATGATGATAATGATGATGACAATAACAACACAAAATAATAATGATAATGATCAATAAGATAATGATCATTATAATAATGATAATAAAAACAGCATCAACAATTATAATAATGATAATGATCGCAGTAGTAGTAGTACTAGTAGTAGTAATAACAATAACTATAATGATAATAATCATAATAATAATGATAATAATATTGATGAGAAGGATAAAAATAATGATGATTATGATAATGATGATAATGATAATGATTAAAACAATAAT